GGATTTCGTGCAAATCAGGAACTGTTGCATGTGGCTAGCAAAACATGTTAATTTCACCTTTTGGAAGCTAAACGTAATGGAGATGCATCAGACCTATTTATACAATCGTTTACATTCATTTCACTTAATCGTAAGTTACAAAAAGCACGTTTTTAGTGGGGTAAATATTTCAAGTCAGCAATTTAGCGTAGACTGACTACAAAACTCGGCCTTAGGAGGTATAATTTTAGTCGAAGGTTCACATGATCTAGTTGTAGTGCTAGTCGAAGTTCGTTTTAAGAATATGAATGACGTAATTTTGAAGTTTTAGCTCGAACTACAACTAAAGTTCGTTTTAAGAATATGAAATGACGTAATTTTGAAGTTGTAGCTCGAACAACCGTGGTTAGGGAGCGGAACTATCATTTGACAGGAGGAAACAAATCTTTGCCTAGTATGATTTACACCTGGGACCCTTGGTTTGGAAAGCAAGCATCTTTAGTTTAGGTCAACAACTGTTACACTGCATTTAATATTCAATAGCTCTTTAAGCATTAGGTGATGAAAAATGGTTGAAAAAAGTATAGAACTGAATACCAAGCGAAACCATGCACTGAAATATCTTCTCAAGCAACTCCATTTTCACCTTTATTAACACTCTGCCTCCAAACACGGAGATCTCTGTGTTTGGTAGCGGAACACTTGACCGCCAAACACGAAGATCTCCGTGTTTCAGGTTTTTTTACGGAATCCGATAGATGGGGTAATTACCGACAAGAAACAATTTGAACACTATATTCAGTCTGGACCGTAAGTATTTCACTATTTGTTTGTTTACATTAGTGTAGAGCGTTATTGAGTTACTTTTACAAAATTGCGATTATCTCAGCTTCGTTGTGCGAAATTGCGTAAACCTCCAAAAGTGAGTCATTTTCATTTTATTGTTAAGGGTCACAGATTGTGATTAGAATAAAATGTTTGGTACTCTTGTAAAGCTAAAATGTTTGTAGTTCTTTTAGTATGCGCTACATGTCAATCTGTTCACATACGCACTCTCTACAAGTTTCGGAAAAGTGTTAAAATTTGCTAAAATGTCTGGTGGTGGCTGATACTATTTTTTCAAACCACTGGCGGTCGGAGTGTTAACATGCAGTTTTGTTTAGAACATAAAATACAATGAAGTAGTCAATTTGCAGAAATGAATGGCACCAACAAAACAGAGTTAGAAGTTCAGACAATTATAAAAATGAAAGAATAAACTAATTATTATTTTCCTAACCTTGCCACCAAGATTATTCTCATGGAGCTTGTCTTTAATTGCTCGGACACGCCCATCCATCATGTCTGAGGGCGCCAAAACTTGGCATCCTAAACACATGCAAGAAATATAGTGTAAAGAACACAAATTGATACTGTATTATTCATTATAAATAAAATAAGAAACATACTATGTTCTTTTATAAAAATGTGAAATGCATCATATTATTTCATACATAAGATAAATTCAGGGGCGGATCCAAAAATGTCCGTAGGGGGTCTGGGGGCATGCCCCCGCGAAATTTTTGTGTTCTAGACGCCCGAACATAACATTTGAGGCATTCTTGGCCATCATTTTTTTCTTTTTCTTTTTTTTTTTTCTTTTTTTTTNNNTTTTTTTTTTCTCTTTTTTTACCTCCCAAAAGGGGGGGGGGGCCGGGCCGGCACACCCCCCTAAATCCGCCCCTGAAATTAAATGTTAATTTGTTATGTAATTTGTTATAAATGAAGTTACAAACATTCTGTTATTTATTTTGTTATTTATTTGTTATTATGTTATTTATTTGCGCCTTATAAATTGAACTATTGTTATTATTAATATTATTATTATTTAATGCAATCTTACAACTGAGTGAACCATATTTTCACACAAAGTGGACAGTAACTTGAAGTTAAATTAACATCATCATGCAAAGCAGTATGTTATATTAATTTTTTTTTTAAACTCTGATAATGAGGGTTATTGAATGCAGTTTTATATGATTAAAAAAAACATCCTGGCAAGCACAGATATTGGGATTGTTGCATTGAAAGGCAAAGAACTCAAGTCATAGCTCCAGTTTCCTGTCTAAACAACTTCTTACCTGCTTGTGCATATGCTAAGGCAACTTCTGCAAGTCTCTTAATGCTTGCTTCATTATTTATTGTTCCATCCTCATACAAGATACCTGGGTATTTGTAGATAAAAATACTACTATGATACTTTCAGTATAAATTGATACATGACACTTCTATTAATGTTTTTTTGTTTTTGTTTTTTTTTGTTCTTAATCTAATACAGCAATGGAACTCCCCAGTAAAACTAAAGAATCTCTGATGTTTTTTGGAGCCATGAGTTTTAAAATTTGGAATGCAAGATAAAGAAACACATCGATTAATGTGTCCGACTTCCTGACAAAAGCAATCAAATCTGAACAAAAAATTCATCAAGATATTCATTCAATCAGCCTAAACCATGTTGCGGCTTTCAAGCAAACAGTGCCCCCCAACTACACACCTGTGGAACCGTGACATATAAATGACACTCCCCGCCTCCCGCTTCATTAACAAGGTTGGGAAACAGGGTTTAGTTCATATTTTCATTTCTTTTAACAATGTCCTTGGCTTCTTGAAAATTCAACCCCAGTGTTTCTTTCGTTTCTCTAACTTACCACAATGACCATGATCGGTATATGGACAAAGACAAACATCACACACAATCAAAAGATCTGGAAATGCTGCCCTCAACCTCCTGATACCAGCTATCACAGGTGTACAGTCTGAATCTGCATGAGACCCCCTAGCATCCTAGAAATATAAGCAAAAATAGGCTTGACTTTTTAATCGAAGCAGTATGAACCCAGGGGTGGCGCCAGCGGGAGGGGGGGGCTCCAGATTCCCGTCGGGGAGAAAAACCACAATTCATGGGGGAGAAAAAAAATAATATGTATTTTGTACATATTAGTAGACCTTAAAATCGATTACACAAGTCTTTGAAACCCCTACATTGTCAAAATTTTGGGGGCATCACCCTGGACTATTTCTAAAGCATTTTAAGAGACGCTCGACCACGGCCACTTTGCTCTCGTCGAGGAAATCTTCCCCCTTTAAGCAAGTTTGTATTAATATTCAAGTTTTATTTGAGAAAAAACAAATCTATTTAAAATATTATAATGAAAATAATGTTAAGCTACGAATTACTGTTTTGGCAGCTTAAAAGAGACTAACCTTTAATGGATGTTAAATTATAAGAAAGTGTTATTATTATTATTATTATTAGTATTATTATTATTATTCAATGGACTTTATAATTACCGTTATGTCATTATTTCATGTGTAAAAAAAAATTGTTATTAAACTAAGAAAAGAGAAATGAAATAAAAGTGGGTGAAATTCCCACAAAAGAGAGAAAAAAAAAAATTTTTATGTGATGAGAACTTAATCTGAAATCTGGTATGATTTACATAAAGGTGGACGACAAGAAATTTAATTACCAGATACACTGTGTATCATGAATTCTCAAAAACCTCCGTTACTTAACCACAATCGGTATTTCCGCTAAGTCCCGCCCCTTGGATATTTTTGCTTGTGTCACACAAACCGACAGAGTTAAAACATACACTACATAAACACGTGCCTTTGTGGGACAACACGTGTGGTTCCTGGCTCTGTTCTGATTGGTCGGTTTATTAAGTTTGATTGATGCTCTCCGGAAAAGTCCATTACCTTTGGTAGATTGGAAGGAACACCAAATAAAAGAACAGCTTTCAATCCTTTGCGGACAAGTGGTTTCAACGCTTCTTGTAGTTTTTCAACACCGTATCGGGCTTGTCCTGGTAAACTTGCAATGGGCTCAACAGCATCTGCAGCGTCCCTGTCATAAAGTAAAACTTATGCATTGTTCCAATTAAATTTGAATTGCTGAATGAAAACATGCCTAAGCCTTTTATAGAATTGTCAAGTCTATTTCCCTGCTAGTCTCCCTACAACTAAATTTAATACCCCACCCCAAACTGTAATTTGTAAAATATAGGTTATGCATGTGGAATGGATACAATCCCTGTGCAAAATTTATGGCTAGGAATCTGAATATATAAATA